TGTCATGCTTTTCAGGTTATTACCCGTCCCCTTGTGTGTTATGAAGGTTTTTATGCATGTAAACGGTCTGCAGAGTCAAAAACCTCAAAGTACACCCTGTAGCGAGTAAAACTCTAACACAGAAAATACCTCCCCAAAACGCCTCGTTGGAGATACGTCACTGTCCATTGATTCTTCCGGGTACCACATGATGTCATGCGTTGCCCGGAACCAAATGGACCAATCCGTGGAGCCGTTACGTTACGTCCGCGGAGCCGTTACGTTAAGCCCCCGCTGATTGGTCCAAATTGACCAATCCACGGACTTCCTCACACACACACTCAGTGCAGGCAGCTCTGCTGATCTCTCCTCCCTGGCTGCAGGCTGATAACAGACAGTTGGGATCGCGGCGAAATTCTCTCTGCAGACCCATTCTCACAGCGTTTATCAACCTTTTTCTTACTCAATATCAAGCCACACTTATTGTTTTTACTTCGGCTGTGACTTTGTGTGTGCTCAGGGTGAGTTTGTTTCGCTGTGTATCGCTAAACAAGGAAACCACACCTCCACGGAGCTCAGCACGATTCACAACGTCCCGACCAATCAGAGCACACTGTGCTTACAGGGAGGGTGGGGGCTGGAGCTACTGGAGCTACAACGAGCCGTTAAAGGCAGAGAGTGAAATTCAGTGAATGCTGTTTGAGAAACCAATGTGAGTTTGGAAAATTGCACAATATAAATCTATTCTAGTAGACCTCAACAATGGAATTATGATCAGTGGAAATGGCCATGACATGGGACCTTTAAGTATAAGACGTTTCCATGACATGGTCAAAAATGTCTCCGGTGTTGACGAGGTTCTATTGATAAACTAAACTAGACAGATTTGTGTGTGACAGGGAGAACAGGCTACTATCTGGTGGTGTGCGAGTATTCACTGGTCACATACATGAACTCAGTGTTCTGGCGCACAGGTGTGCCTCCACCATTCCACCTAGTAAAAAGAAAAATACAGGAATTGCCTTCCAGCTACTTCAAAGAAAGCGCTAACCTGTAAATATAACATTTGAATGTCTCGGACTCTGATGAATAGTGCATTAGCATCCAGTTTAAACTGTTCCGGCTTTAAATGCATGTTTATATATCTGAATGATGTTGCTTTTACTTCAAATGTCCTGTACTCACTTTGGTTTGATTGCATCCTCCTGATTTTCCTCCAGAAGGTCATAGATGTAGTTGTTGTAGATTTCTATGTAGGAGACGAACACGGTGTAGCTGCTGTCCTCATCCACAGCGTCGGTTTTATAAGCCTCCGCTGACGTGATCATGTCAGCAATTTCCGGATCTTTTTGTCTGAAATCAGAGCAGTGACTCACATGTTATACATCAGTTACACTGTAGCAGGACGCTGGTGTCGAACAGGACTTTGACTTACCTGGAGGAGGAAGATGAAGATTTAGGAACAGGCATGTTGTTTTCCCGCCTCTGGCGCTCCAATAAAGCATCGACTTCATTCTGGACCTCCAAGCCATTTTTTTCATCAGTCTTTAAAACCTAAAAAAACAAAACCCAGGAGTAATTCAATTGGGTAAATAAGCTGAAATTAGCAATGATTTACTGATTTTCAATTGTTTAGGCAGCCTACTATTAGTTAAAGCAGTTGTATTTACTTTATTAGTGTTGGTACAACAGATGATCAACAGTGTTCTTGAATGTTTACTTACATATCTTTTGGCCTGGTAGGGTCCTATACTGTTGAAGATCATGTCAAGTGAGCGAGGGAGAAGACCACCCTGGCCCGGAGAGCCAGTCATAGTGAACGTCTTCCCACTTCCTGTGACCCCGTACGTGAAGAGCAGACCTGCAACAACAAGGCAAAATTGCACTTATTTTGTATGCAAATGAGGCAGCTGGCAATAGTTAAACTGTTATTATTTAGTAAAAATGTGTTTTCTTCTATAGCTGGCCAGTTCTCTTACCATTTTTTCCATGGATGAGGTCATCAACAAGAGGTTTGGCCACATGCTCAAACAGCTCTATCTGAGTTATTGACAATCCAAATACTTTTTTGAAGGAATACTGAGTCTGAGAAGCAAAAGAGAATGGAACATTTGAGGGGAACTGTATTACAACAAAGAATATGGCTCACTTCATCATATTGGTTTTTAACAAATTGCATTTGAACACTCGTTTCTCAAAACTTCCGAAACATTTCACATGTGCCTTTTTTGTGTTTTTTAATCAATCTTGACAAACAATGGCTAAGATATATAAGACTATGGCAACATAGACCATACTTATAATACAATGTATTGTTTGTTTTTGGCTTTTTATGAGTTTCTTTTACAATAAAAAAAGCAGACTGAATGCTTTAAAACCAAAATTAGACGAGTTTTAATTTACACGTTGTGTAAAGGACAAGACATTCCTTAGCTTAATAGCAGGAAAACCCCTAATTATGAAAACAATGGGTGGGAAAACATAACCGCTCCAGGTTCAAAATGTCCGTTACCTCTTTGTATTCTCCATTGCGGTTTGTTTTGAAGCCTTCAGGGGCGTGCAGCTGGATGGTGGAGCTGCTTATAACCTCGATGCAGCACTCCTCATCCTCCAAACCCAGGGGCCGTACACGACAGTACACCTGAGCAAAAGCACAGGAGGAGGACATGTTCAGTTGCACTGATTTAATTCAATGTGCTTTATTGGCATGAGTGCAACAAAGCATCAAGTAATCATGAGATTAAAAAGGAAAAAATGGAAGACAAACAAGAAAATACCAAACCTTAAAAAACATACTGGGTCTCTCCAACTGGCTGATGTGTTGATGATTTTGATGTTTCAAGTACATACCTATGAATGGCCTTTTTACTGAAATATAATTTAAATGAATGTGCCTTGCTTCACTACTCTTAGTTCATCGTGTCTTTTGACAAAACAATTACCTTGTAAGTCATTCTTGAGACATTGGACAAAGTAAGTCAGGTTGTTTGAAGGTCATTTTATTATTTGTGTTCAATTGTAGATAGTAACTTCAAACAAACAGTCTCAAAGTTGTGTCCCACCTTTTGTAAAAAAACACCAAGTATAAAGGCAATTAAATCATGCAACATTAGGGGCTTATAAATGCACAAAATTCAGATGTCCCATCCCAGAAGTAAAGAATGCAACAATGTGTGTTATTTGCTAGTTCTTGAACAAACACTCACCCCAACCGGGTCTTTCTGGTTGCTGGAAGGCTTTTTCGGAGGAGGCTTGCGGGGCGTTTTAGCCTTCCTGAAAAAAGAATCACATTTCATTAGCAGAGTGTATTGTTAGCATTAGCTTTCCATTTGAGTAGGCGATGGTGTGAGAGCTGCTCTGGCTAGACGGCTTATTAGCCTCCAGCTAACGCTACGGCTAAGCTAGCTTGCTAAATCACTCGTCATTGATTATAATCCGTTGAAAAAACACATTTAGCATGAGCATAAAACGTATACGTAATGTGCTCCGTTCTAAATTATTTAAAACATAATCGTGTAAAATACTAAAGTAAACTTACGCTTGTCGGATCATTGTTGCTCGCTGTTCCGTGATGTTTTTACCGTTGCCGTCGCTACAAGTTTTGAACTTTCCCTCCGCCTCAAATCAGATGACTTTTTCAAAACGAGCCGGCTGCAGCCAATCAGATCTCACAACAAGCGGACACGTGTTTCCGCCTTCCGCTCCGAGCCTTTTAGGGAACTACAGAAATGTGAAATATGCATCATCTCATAAACCGATACTAGCACACAACCGGATACACAGAAAGGCTAGAAACCACGCAAACTAAAAATAAACAGCAACAAGGAGAATTGGAACTCTCACATTTTTTCTTTTGGCTTTATTGCATCATGTTTAAGCCATGCAATCAACAACACATAGGTATGTTATTCAACAAAAAGAAGACAGATTGAAACTATAATCATAAGAAATTATTAACAAAAAATTATGAGAGTAATAATACATCATTTGTTTTACATGTATTATCATTATTATTGTTTTAATTATTTGTATTAATATTATTATAAAACAATTCATTCATTTTATAGAATATTGTAGAGGCCTATTAAGATTTAGGCAATATTGCAAATAAAGAATAAATAAATATACTTTTTTTATATAGTTTGCGGCTGGTTGGTTGTTTTTTTATATACATATTATAATACATATATATATATATATATATATATATTATTTTGTATAGTAGTAGTAGAAGTACCTATGAGTAGAACACAGAATAAAGAATAACGCTTTTTTTACACTCCATTTTAATTATGTAGCCTAACTTACCGTACTATATGTTTCACTCTGACCAAAATAATAATATTTTTTTCATGAAAGCACTCCCCCTCTGAAAGAGACTGTGCACAGAATCTGAAAGCTGATCTTTTGTAGGTTTTGTAGTCCTACCTGAACACCAAACATGGCCTCCAATAGGTGTTGCTGGCATGGTTGCTGGTAGTTAAAACAACGACCCCTAGCGTCCACCAGCTGTAACACACACACAGTTACAAAACAGAGGGGCAGCCATTAAAGTTCACGTGTGACATATTGCGATATTATGCAAACACTGGAGTTCCTGCACTGCAACAGTAAACACTGAATCTCACAGGTAAGCAGTCTGTCTAAGTCTTTATTGTGGCAACTAGATGAGTAAATGTCGGGTCAGTTCCTCTCTGCTGTGTCGTGTTGAACAGGCGTGTTTTCTTTAGGAGGGAAACATGAAAACAAGACAGGCGAAGTCAGCAGATGAATCTGAATCAAAGGGAAGAGTGAAGAAAAGAGCTGGGGAGAACTCTGGTCCAGCTCTCTCCAAAAAACTACGAGAAAGAAAAGATGGAGAAACATCCAAACAAGGTTTGCAACCCTAATGGTGCAGACTCAGTATGTTGCACATACAATCACGTTCCTGTCATGAAATATAGTTGTTTTTTGCAGTGCCTCCTCTCAAGTCTACAGGAGTCCAGAAGAGAGCAGGGTATGGGAGCATCCTGCACTACCTTTACAAGAGCACTCTGGGACAAAGTCTTCACTCACAGATGAAACAGGTAAGACATCTAAGGCTGTGCAGATTGAGAAAAATAACCTAGCAACGTAATGCCATACCTGTATCAGAATCAGAGTCGGTTGTATTGCCAAGTAGGTTTACACATACCAGGAATTTGCTTTGGTATAAGTGTGGTGCATACAGAAACACAGAAAGGAGAATACGTAGAAACAAATATAATAAAAAAAATATTACTATTATAAAAAATAAAACAAATTGTAAAAAATAAAGACAATATTTACAGAAAATATAATTATGTGGGAAACCGAGTACAGTAAAACATGAAAATACTATGTTCAAAGTGGAGAGCTTTGCTGATTTAAAAAGAGGTATCGTGTGCAGGATTTACAATATTAAAAAGATCAAGATATTGTTTGCATGATGTGCATTCATGGAATGCACAAAGTGTATCTTGGGTGGATGTGACTGTAGTAAACGTTCTCAACATGCGTTATCATTATGTGTATACTAGTGCTTGGTATGTATGCATCATTTCTGCCATGTAGATATCTATGGGCAGATTAGCTCGCAGGAACAGTTGATCATTAAACGTTGTTGTTTGTTGCAGTGTCTTCAGGAACCTTTTGTCCGCTCGCTGTCTTCATATCAGTTCCACGGGTCCACCAGCCCCTTCGACCGCAGGATCACCTGTTTGGAGTGGCATCCCACTCACCTCACCACTCTGGCTGTGGGCTCCAAAGGTGGAGACATATATCTGTGGGACTTTGAGGCGCCTGGGAAGAAAACCTTTCTCCAAGGGGTGAGTGTCTTCATGCTCCATATTCCTTTGTTTCTTCTTTTTCTGCTTTTGAAATATGCAGCAACTTATTCCACAATTACATTTTGAAGCGATTATTAATTTATAAACTGTGCAAATTAGATTAACACGAAGACACACTTGTATTGGTTCTTTGCTTAGATGGGGATTGGAGACTCAGTTACTGACATGAGGTTTAACCGGTTCAATCCCAGTCAGCTGTTCACCTCGTCTATGCGGGGTAGGACAGCTCTTCGAGATTTGAATGGGACGATTCTATCAGTGTTTGCCAGCACAGACATACGAAAGTAAGAGTTGTCCTTAAGCTGCAATCCAAAAAGTAGATTGCAGGCCTGAGTATCAGTCTTCTTATCAGGCTCTCTTGGTTTATTGCCAAACATTTGTGTGGTGTAGATCACTACAACTGCAACTAACCATTATTTTCAGTATCTATAAATCTGACAACTTTTCTTTGGTCAATAAAGCATCCATCCAAAGTTTTTCAAAGTCCAAAATAATGTTTTAAATGTCTTGTTTTGTCAATCCATAAACCAAAGACCTTCGGTTTATTACTAGATAAATAAATAAAAAGCAGGAAAACTCCCTAATTTGAAAATAATTTGAGTAATTATAAGAGTTTACTGATAACTGTCCTGCGTTTCTGTGCACAGAACGGAGCAGGAGACTTTATTGGAGGGATGAAATTTTGCCCGTCAGACCCCTCCAAAGTAATTGTGGCTTCTGGTGAGGGCACACTGAACATGCTGAGCTTTGAGGGCCGCCCACCCACCGTTCTGTCCCGAACTCAAGACTGTGGCCACGATCACCACAATGTTTGGTGAGGAAACTGAGAAGAAGACTGACACTCAGAAAGATCAAAAGGGATCATGTGATCTTCTCATTGTTATGTTGCTATGGTGAAGTATAAAGCTCTACAATGTATCCCCGACTTTTCAGTTTTTCATTAAATAAAAAAAGCCTTGTTTTAAGATTTCTAACGCTACATTTCTTAGACAAATCAACACATATTTTTGGTTGATATGCTATATAGAGACAACCTTTAGTTTAATGTGAGCACTTAAAAATCAGCTAGTAAATAAATAGTTTTCACTTTACAGCAATGATAAGTAAACTTTCAAATATTTAATTGACTCTCATTCTGTTGAATAAAAATAAAACTCACTTTGTTTTGTTTCTTACAGTCACTGGTACTGCTGCGTGGATGTGTCTGTAAGTCGACAGATGCTTGTGACAGGGGACAATGTGGGACAGCTCGTACTCCTGGGTTTGGATGGCCAAAAGGTATGTCTCCATTCCCCGAAAGTTTAACTTAAGTCATTATACTTTATTTAAACGAGGCGACAAAAGACATGAGTTGATTTCTGGCCACTAAAGAGAATCAGTATTTCTCCCAACTAACAGTTCCAAAGTGTTTTTGTGATGAATTCAGATTTTATTCTTGAATGCCTTTTTGTTCTATTTTGATGTTGCAGATTTTCAGTGAGAAGTTGCACAAAGCCAAAGTTACCCATGCAGAGTTCAACTCCCGCTGTGATTGGTTGTTGGCGACGGCATCAGTCGACCACACGGTGAAACTTTGGGACCTGAGGAACATCAAAGACAAGAAGAGCTTCCTCCACGAGATGCCGCATGATAAAGCTGTCAACTCAGGTGAAACCCTGACTCAGAAAACTCTACTACCATCATCATACCATAACATCCACGTTTTATTAATAATTAAAATAATTCATTTAGTTGTGAAGTAGTAGATGCAAGAGTCACTGTTGGTGATAAATGCAAGTTGTTTTGTCTTTGGACATTTAGTTCAGATTTCTTAATTTATCTGATGAAAATGTAGACCATACCTTAAAGTCTTTACATCCATGATTGGAGCAGTTGTAAAGAAAATCTTTGTTATTTTGTAAATCTGTTATTACAGCCTATTTCAACCCTCTGGACTGCTCCAAGTTGCTCACCACAGATCAGTACGACCAGATCCGGATCTACTCCTCTCCTCATTGGTCGAAGCCTCAACATATCATCCAACATCCACACAGACAGTTTCAGCATCTCACGCCCATCAAGGTTTAATTCTTATCCAGATGTGTATGTTTCCTTTGCTAACTTATCCTGAGACAACCACTAGTTGTCCTAGTTTGGGTGCACAAAGGATCAGCGCATATACACAAACAAACACGGACATCAAAACATTTGTAGAAAATGAAGGCAAAGGTAGTACATAAGGTACATATCTCAGTGTGGTTGGATACAGTTTGAGATGATACAATTCTGTTATGTATTTATTAATGGCTTATCTGATATGGACAGATACATTATTATTTAAGGTATTTTAAATATATTTAGACATATTAAAGGTAATTTACAGCATTAATATCTAATTCTTAACTGTGAATGGTTTTCATTTATTGAACATTAGAAATGTATTAGTCTGGCCAATCCAAGACTTCAATGCTGAAGGGCCAATGGATCTATAGTGGGGGTCAGCACAAAGGTCAAGAGAACCCACATTTGAAAGGGAGACAACGGATGGCCAAGAAACTAGTGATCTGTTAAGAACAGAACCAGCACTACTGGTGTTTTGTATGCCAGCTAGTGAGGGTGGACAAGTTTCCTACCATTGAAGTTTCAAATAATTGTGTTAATTACCTATTGTAAAGCATTTGAACATTCTTTTGTGTCACATGTTCATTATTAAGTTGATGTATAACTGTATAGTATCTTAGTTATTTAAAATATAAGGTGACTAAAAATGGCAACCGTATTTTCAG